CCCACCCTCACCCCACTCCCACCCATCACCCCACCCCCGCAATATCCCTCCACTCCCCTCTCAATGTCCTCTCCTGGGCTGAGGAGGCACTGTGCAGACCACATCAACTGCTCCCTCTCAGGTCCCCATTCCTTCCAGGGCCCTCATACCCCAGCAGGGGCAGCCCAGCCTGCTCTCTGTCCCCAACTCCCTGGCTCCATCTCTCTCAGGCTCCCATGGGCTTCACATGCCCCCTTTCTACAAAGCCCTTCTGGGCTTCTACCCTTGCAGTCTTTCTGGTCTGAGATGTGTTCCCATGGGCGCACTCACCCTTGAACACTGCCCTGGCTCCTTTCCAGCCACAGTTTCAACCCCCACCCCCCCCCTCTGCTCACTAATGCCGTCCTCACAGCCTTGTCGATCTCGGCCTCCTCCGCCACTGCCATTATGTAGTCACTACATCGCTGAAGTTGCTGTTAACGTGTGCTCCGCTCCTATTTGCTCTTGACCTTATGGGAAGGGGGCTGCGGGATAACTTTCCATGCGGGCGGTGCTTTGTAGAACTGATCCTTCGCTGTGCATGGTCGGCTCGCAGCAAATACCATTGCAAGAAAGGGGAGCCTGGGAGCTCGTAGGAAGGGGGAGGGAACGTGGAGTCCCACGTACTTCTGCACTGAAGATGATTCTGGAGGCAGAGCTCTGGGAGGACTCGACCTGGGTAGCCGCAGGACCTCATTCCGTAGAGGGACCCACTTCATTTCACATTTGAGAATTAAATTAGAATCAACTATTGCGTGATACAAAAAAAAATGTCTCTGTCACCGTTCCCCCCATGAGTGACAGTCACTATCCATCACTGTTAAGAGCAGAAGCCGTGAGGACCTCGGGACTCCACCAGGGCAGGCCCCATGTTGGCTCGGGCATTTGGCTTTAAAGCTGGTTCCCATGGGTGCCGCACAGCTGGGAGAAGGTGGCAGGCTGCAGGGAAGCTCCTGTTAACCACCACTGCGGACAGGATATGCTAGGAGCTTGGCCTGCCATGGCTGGGACAGGCGACAAGATCTAGACCTGAATAGGAAGCTGTGGAGGCTACAGTTCTTCACATAACATAATAGGAACAAAACTGTCTGTGGGAGCAGACATACTACTAAGACAGAACACAGTGACCATCAGTGGGCGGGCAGCGCAAAGCCAGGAAGGTTTGGTGCTCCTAGGGAAGACCAGAAAATCCCAGATGCCATGCAGGGTTGCATCACTGGCAGACACAAGCTGCCTATTCTTCTGTCTCTACGGCTGAGTTAGTGGTCCAGACAGGCGACACAGGCTATGTGAAATCCACGTGACCACATCATCCCTGCTGTGGGCTCCAAGGACGACCCTGGGATGGTACGCTGCACGCATGGGTGTATCAGCTGGCTACTGCCATGTAACCATCATGACTGCTTAACAGCCTACTGCCACACTCTCCCAGTGCCGTGGAAGCTCAGCTGGGCCCTGCATTCAAGGTGTCACAATGCTGACTTCTCATCCAAGGATCTGGACCTACGTCCAGGGTCATTGCTGCTTGGGAGAAAGATTCTTGCTGTGGATGACTGAGGTCTCCATCTCTTGGGCCGTTATTGTAATTGTCTGGGTACCTCCCTCAGGCGCTCATGGCTATCAGTTCCTTCTTCCTCGACTTCTCCACCTCTCTCACCCACAACACAGTCTTCCCCAGGCTCTCACACCCTCTTCCCCCACCAGCAGCATGAGCTGGTGACTTTAAAGGAGACTGTAACTCCACCATCCGCTGGCTAGGTAGCCCAAGAGGCCATCTCTGCCCCACAAACAACTGCACCATGTGACACAGATAAAGACGGTGATACACGCTTGTCACCCCAGCTGTGCAGAGGTGGGGGACAATAGGATCCCATGGGGCTTGCTGGCCAGTGGACCTAGCTGAATCAGCAAGCTTCGGGCTTAGTGAGACCCTGTATCAAAATCTAAGGTGGAGAGCCGTTAAGACACATCATGTCAACTTCTAACCTTCATACATGCAAGACAAGAGAAAAAAATGAGTTAAAGGAACAGAGGAAAAAGTCAAAATCTGGACGCTCCTTGCTAAGAATGGGCCGTGGATTAGAATGGACAGGCACTGTAGCCTCTAGGATATAGGTTAAAAAGCTACCACCTACATCCAACATGACCCATCTGTCTTCATCAACCAGCAATAATTGGATGCCCAGCCCCGATGCAGGAGACTCGTAGATAGAGCATCTTCAATTTGCAGGCATGACTCTTTAAAGAAGCAGGGTCTAAATCACCGGTGGCCATGTGTCATTTGAAGTCACTTGGCATTTGCCATCTTGGGAGAGATGTGTGTTGGATTCCCCAGTGAAGTTTCCAACCTTGCGGTAACGAGACGATAGAAGGACCAGATCTCACTCCCAAGGCAGAGCTGATGGAATTTCAATCCAGCCGTTTGTCCTTCAAGCAGGGCTTGGTTTATATTAACTTCCTTCTCCATCCAGGTATGGGGAGAAAAATTAATTCATGATGAGAAGCCAGCCACAATGAATAGCATTTTATCTCTGCCCTAAGAAAATAAAGGCAGACACATTCGTGTGTGTGTGTGTGTGTGTGTGTGTGTGTGTGTGTGTGTGTGTGTGTGTGTGTGATTAATAGCTTCCTTTCTAAAAATCCAGAAGAATATGAGCCTTGCTTGTTTTTAAGTTTGGGTAGAAGAATAAAAAATGAGTTACCTGGGATTCTGGTGGGTGGTATAAGCATGAGAAGGGGGCTTATTAGGTGACTCAGATGGAGCTCCAAGTGTAGAACTCAAAGGCGTAGAGCCGCATGCAGTCCACGTCAGTTTCCCCACAAGCTGAGGCTGAAGCAATGATTCCTGGCTCACAAGGACAATGAAGGCCCCTCAGCCGGCAAAGCGGACAGTGTGCAAGGCAGTAAGGCTATGTCACCCACTCGGCCACTGATGAAGCTAAGTTCACCCTCCACGGCCACTGGAGAGACCATGCAGAAAAAGGCCAGGGACGTACCCCCCCTTCAAAGGCCAAGAGAGCCGGGCTCAGGATAACAACACCCATCCATTGTTCATCCAGGACTGTCCCCCCCCCCCCCCCCCCCCCGGTGGGTGTTACCTCCTTGGCATTTCTGGCTTCACACAAGAACTCAGGTTCCCAAGCCAGAAATGCCTTTGAGCACAGATGAATAAGATAAACGCGAAGCTGCTGGTGGGAAGCTGAGCTCACCGCTGCTGAGTGGCAGGATAATTGTCCTACACCGTCGTGAGATTTCGAGTTAGCGCAGACTCAAACTCTAAAGCAGAACTCTTCCTCTTGACCCTTTTTTTCCTCATCTTTTGACAAAATCTGAAGTATGCCCAGCCCTCACACTCTGAGCTTTTTCTTCTTTTCCTGAAATCCCACACCCCACAGATAGCTGCTTGCAGACTTCCAGGGTTGACGCGAACTCAAAAGATAAGCGGTTTTTCTCTCTTTCCCTTTTTTTTTCCTCCCTCTTTCTGGCAGCCGCCAAGTTTTACAACTTGCTTGCCCTGTATTTTTCTGTCAGGCTCTAATAAAATGGTCCTCGTGCTTTAAAATGGGTTGGGGGTGGGTAGAGGAGGCAAGTGCGGTCCTCTTGCTCTACAGAACTCAGCTCTGGGCTCTCTGCTCCAAACAGCAGAGACTCAGCCTCCACTGACCTCCACAGAATGGAGGAGTAGCCTGTGGGCAGGCACTCATGCCTTCGGGTCCAGCCAGATCCAGGAGCCCAAGCAGCATCACCCGAAGTCATCTCTTCACAGCTGCCATTTGCCTTCATGTTGGATTGCTGTCACCATGGCGTAGAATGTTCTAGAACATTCTAGAACGTTGCCTTGCTCACTCCGATTTTCTCCTGAAACTTGTAGCTGGACCATTGGCTATTCTTGCTCCCCTTTCTTCTTCCCCATCTACCTGTCTTTGTCTTTTCTTTTTTCCTGATCCTGAGTAAACACATTGGCTGTGTTGATGGTAAGACAGCTCTCTCCTCAGTCATGTCTTGTCTGTTGTATAAAGCACCCCAAGTGATTTACTCACTTGCCATACCCCCCCATTCTTTTCTTTGAGTTGGGGGCCTCATGTAGCCCAGGCTGGCCTCCAGCTCTTGATCCTCCTGCCTCCACCTCCTAAGTCCCAAGACTGCAGGGTTATGCCAACACATGCTGCTCAGTTTTCTATTTCTAGAAATTCTGTGTAGGTCTCCACACATCTCTGCCTTTCCCCTTCTGCTCACCCCTGGTCTCATAGTGTAGTTTCTGCTTTATTCCTCCTTTGCCCTTTTATTTCATTAGTGATTGCTTTTTCCTTGGTTTATTTTTAATCCAGTCTTTTCTGGTTGTTCCCACATCTCTAATATTAGCCTGATCATCTAGGTTTTTAAATTAGTAGTAATAGTAGTCAGTAGTAGTAGTAGTAGTAGTAGTAGTAGTGTGTGTGTGTGTGTGTTTTAGGTGTGTGTGTGTGTATGTGTGTGTGTGTGTGTGTGTGTGTGTGTGTGTGTGTGCGCATGCGCGCGCCATAGTGAACGTGTGGAGGTCAGAGGATAAATTTAAGGAGTCTGTTCTCTCTCATTTCACTTTGACATGGGTTTTTGAGATTTAATTTGTCTCATCAGGCTTGCACAGCCAGTACTTCGATCCAATGAGCCATCTCACACACCTCCTGTGTGTATTTTTAACAGCGGCTTTTACGACACCTGCTGCCTGTCCACAGATGGGGTTTTGCTTTTATCGGGGGAGCCTTGTGCAGCTGTTGGCTTACCTTGGGGCACACTCCCTGGGCCACACGGGTAGTGTCACAGCAGCCCAGGACCGAATTTGGGTTTCTTCTTTCCACCAGTGGCAGAGAGGAAATAGATTTTTTTTCAACCCATCATATGTAAAGAGGCTCCCACTGCCTCCTCTTTCTGCAGCAATAGGGTCTAAGATGAGTGTGGCCAGGTGAGCAAGCAGAGATGCTCCCGAAATCAGGATTGGTCTGCTGATAAGGGAAGCAGTGAGCCTTTAGGGAAAGGCTGAGCATGGCTTTTCTAGGTATGGCTGACCACGAGGCTTTGGCCATGGCTGATCCCTGGGTCTCCAGCCCAGCAGGGCTCTGCAGACCTTCTTGCTAACCTGACAGCTGAGGGACACACTGCTTAAACTTGCTCTGGTGGCATCTGTTTTTGCAAGAGAGGCATCCCCTGAGCGGCAGCTGATCCCTAATATGCGTGCAGTGATTCCCATTAGTATCTCAGGAGTTTCAGGTTTGTCCTGGGAACCCAAAAGGTAATGCTGTGTCCACGGTGCTGAAGGTGAGGAAAATGTCCTAGAGCATCCCATCTAGGTGGATCTGTGCCCACCACTGCGCTGTATTGTCCCTGGGCTGCCCAGTGGGCAATGTCTGTGCTTACTGAGAACATATCAGGCATATGAGGATGAAGCCAGGGCATTTCCCGGCCAGGGACTCTAAAACTCCCTTCCCTGTTCTCCACAGTGCAAGAGTTTTTATGTCTGTTTGGGCCTTGACTGAACAATTACGGGTCTTTTTAATGGTTCAGTCCATGACACTGGCCTGAGCTTTCTTGTTCTGTCCAAATGTAGCCGAGCTGAACTCACCAGGTGGCATGATCATGTCACTGCTGCCCACCTGACAGTCCTTCAAAGAGTGTGCCATGTCTCATCAGGTCATGCAAAGAGAAGATAATCTTGCTTTTCTGTTTTTCCTACGAAGCACAAGGCACCTGGAAAAGAATTGGTAGGGAGGAGAGATGAATTAGCCAGGGTTCTCTAGAGGAACAGAACCAAAAGAATGAAGATCTGTATTAAAAGGGGATTTATAGCCAGGTGGTGATGGTGCACACCTTTAATCCCAGCACTCGGGAGGCAGAGGTAGGCAGATCTCTGTGAGTTCGAGGCCAGCCTGGTCTACAAAGTGAGATCCTGGACAGGCTCCAAAGCTACACAGAAAAACCCTGTCTTGAAAACAAAAATAAAAAAAGGAGGCGGGGGGGGGGGGGGGGGGCCCAAGAGGCTCCCCACGTCCATCTTCCTACCCATACTTTCCTATCCCGCTCATGTTTTTGTTTTTTTTTACTAGAGTGACTTACTGGCTGTGGTCCAGGTAGTCCAATAATGGTTGTCTCATGATGGAAAAGTGGAGAACCTGGTAGTTGTTCAATGTGTGAGTTTGGATGTCGCTGTAGTCCCAATCTGGCTCAGGAGTTCTGGATGATTACTGGAGAGCTGCTTGTTTTCAGTCCATGTGGGAAACCTGAAGGTGGATTTAATATCAGCTGCAGAAACAGGACAGATGAACTTGCTAGAAAGAGTAAGGGCAAGCAGGCAAAAAGCAAAGCTTCCTTCCTCCGTGTTCTTTTATGTGGCCCAGGGTTAGGGTGGGTCTTCCTGCTTCAAATAAGCTGATGAAGAAAATCCCTCCCAAGAGTGCCCAGCAGGCTTCTGTTGATTCTGGATGTCTCGAGTTGACAAACAAGATTAGCCATCACAGGAGATAAGAGAAACTTCCTCTTTTGTGAGATGGTGTCTCATATACCCCAGGATGACCTTGAGCTCCTGATATTCCCACTTCCAACACCCTCCCAAGCACCGAAACACCTAGTCTAGGCAGTACTAGAAGTCAAACCCAGGACTTCATGGACTCTAGGCAAACATGTTACAAGTTTAACCACATTCTAAGCCCGTAGTTTCCAGTTTCAGGCCTTTGGCTCTGATAGAATTTCCTGCCTCAGTTTCCCACCTCTACAAATCCACATTGTCCTTTGAGGCTAATGGAGCTCAGGAATAAGTGACTGGCAGATAACAAAAAGCTGGTCCAGGACCGTGTGTGTTTTCTGCACATGGCTTATGCTGGAGCTGTGTTAGGGTATCTCTCTGATGGAAAGCGTATTTGCTTCCCCAGGACATGGGCACCAGATCAGGACTCCATGTCACCTTTCCTGTTTCTTTGGTGGTGTTCTAGGATGGGTCCCTGGAGATAAGGCACCCCCCAAGTGGTATTCATGGTCTCTGTCCCTGCAGGAAGCTATAGTCAGCACATGGCTCCAATTCAGTGACGGCTCAGTGACATCCCTGGACATCTATGACAACAAGGACTTCTCCTTGACTGCCACCTCTTTGGATGAGGCCATCGTGTCCATCTCACAGCCCCTCTCACCTTGGTGGCCCACTGTGGTGGCTGAAGGAGAAGGCCAGGGCCCACTGCTCCGAGTGGACATGTCCATCGCTGAGGCCTGTCAGAAATCCAAACGCAAGAGCGTGCTGGCTGTGGGCATCGGCCACGTGGGTGTCAAGTTTGGATGGGACGATGCTGACTCCAGCCAGACCAGAGATAAGGATGAGGAGGGGATAAAGAACCACGCCAGTGATCGCCGGCAGAAGATTCAGGACCTGGAACGCCCAGGCCAGGATGAACGCTACCATGGCAACTCTCCTGGGGATCGCGAGGAAGGGGCCCTGATGAGTGCCACCACCACTGCCAAGTCCCTGCTGGATAACAAAGTGGGGAAGAGTGGTAGACTGGATGGGGCCAGGCTACACAGCATCCCCATAGACTTCACCAACTTCCCAGCCCATGTGGACCTCCCCAAGGCTGGGAGCACATTGGAGGAGAATGGTCTGATGCAGACCACCCATGGCCTGAGTGACCTGGAGATTGGGATGTATGCCCTCCTGGGGGTCTTCTGCCTGGCCATCCTTGTCTTTCTCATTAACTGTGCCACCTTTGCCTTCAAGTATAGGCACAAGCAGGTGCCTCTAGAAGGCCAGGCATCCATGACCCACTCTCATGACTGGGTGTGGCTGGGCAATGAGGCGGAGCTCCTGGAGAACATTGGGGACGTGTCCCCACCCCAGGATGAACACACGACCATCATAGACCGAGGGCTGGGAGGCTGCGAAGAAAACAACCACCTGCTCCTCAATGGTGGCTCCCAGAAGCACATGCAGAGCCAGGTCCACAGGCCACCGGGCTCTGGGGGGCGGCAGGGCAGGGAGCTCAGGCAGGAACCTGCAAACTCACCCACCTCCAAGATGAAGAAGGTGAAGTTTGCCACCTTCGCCATCCCGCCCGAGGACAGCTGCCCCACAGTGAACTCCATCCTCGGTGCCGAAGACGACATCAAGTGGGTTTGCCAGGACCTAGAGGTGGGCGCGTCCAAGGAACTCAGAACCTACCTGGAGAAGTTCCAAGACAACGTGTAGTGTTCTGGCCACCTCTTCAACTTGGACAGTGTCCTCCTTTCTTCCTTCCCTCAGCAGAGTAGCTGGATGGAGGGCGCTCCCGGTGGGACTGAGTGAGGACGACCAGAGCCTACAAAATACCAGCTAGCAGTTTAGAAGTGGGGAAAGGGGTGTTTTTATATTAAAGGGTTTTTTTAGCCATTGAGGATGGGTTCCAGAAGTATGAATCTGACTCCGCGGGGAGGCAGAGTGGATCCAAGACTTCTCTGCTCAGAGGTGAGAGGGTTATTTTATGAATCAAAATACACTGCAGACAAGCTACCAAAAATATTTGTTAAAAAAAAAATACAAAAAAGACAAATAAAAAAGACACAAATGACTGTTGGTTTATATTTCTAATAAAGGAACAAAATGTAAAAAAAAAAAATAGGGCTTGCTAAGAAGCAGCCTTCGTTTTAATTTAGTCTTCATGTTTCTGAGGACAGCCTGTGTCTATCAGCCTGGTGCCCAAGACAGGAAGTACATCTGAATACCAGTCACCTCTTAGGACGAATGAAAATTTTACATTTGACTCCATATCTCTTCTTGCTTTCATACCTCCTTTTTTTGTGTTCTAAGGCTTCCATTTGATTTAATTTCATGTTTATTTCTGAGGACCAAGTGGTATATTTTCCTAAATGAAATATAAATTATATTTCTATTCATTAGATAGGGGTTTTTTTTCTCTCTTAGTGAGTTCAATCTTTTTTTTTTTTTTTTTCTTGGAGCTGAGGACCAAACCCAGGGCCTTGCGCTTGCTAGGCAAGTGCTCTACCACTGAGCTAAATCCCCAACCCCGAGTTCAATCTTTATGTTGTAACATGAACCTGTTTTTATCTCTCTCCTGCTTTGTTGACATTTTCTGGCTTGTTTGTTTGTTTTTTAAACAATATAGGAAGTGCTCAGTTCCTTCTATGGGGAGAGCAAGCCCCACAATCATAATCAGTTGGGGCAGGCCAGTGGGTGAAACTGTGTTCACAGCTGTCTGAAATAGGATGTGGCCAGGAGAACAGAGCACAGCCTGTGACACTCGGCCACTCCTTATGAAGTCAGAGACTCAGTGTCCCCATCAGTATGGACATAGGGATGCCTCTATGTAGAGAGATGTGAGCCCAATCCGTAAGTGCAGGGTGTTCAGAGTCAGGCAGACAGGCCATGTCGACCACAAGGAACAGCCAACACTGTACTGAACAAACAGAAAAGATATTTGGGGGTAGAGTTGAGTTGTCTGATTTTATTGGGCAGAGTTGAACCAGCATCAACTCAAAATGATTTTTAAAAAAATCTATGTTAGATTGTTAATCAAACTGTGGCTTTACAACAAGAGCACAGCATAGTATCACATCCACTCAAAGCAGAGTGTGCGCATGAGACAGGAGATCGCAGATGAACTCCTAGGACGTCCAGAGCCTGGCGCTCCCTGTCCATCGGCTGAGGGTGAGGACACCCAGGCCTGTGACCCTCAGCAGAGCAGCCCTCATAGACATACCAGGGGAGGGCCATTGTTTTAATTTTTTTCTATTACTAATATCAGTAGCGAAGAAAAGGTCCTGGAAGCCTAGTGACTTTGGTTGGACCTTTGACACCTCTGTTTGTAGCCTTTACAATAGATTTTCAAAAGCTATTTATTTATACCTGCGGTCGTCGTTGTCATTAAAACGCTTGCCATGGCTTCACAAGTCCGTGTCTCAGGGGATTTTCTTGTTCCATCAACTTCCTGTCCTCCAGTCCTAACAGGTACAGGCCTGCTGAAGAATTCACCTGTTAAAGAAGAAACAACACACTTGCCCGCCCCCACCCCCACCCCGCTTCCTTTCTGGCCAGATCCAGAGTCATTCGGACGATGTACAAATTCTATCACCCACCCACTGTCACCTGCCTGTTCTCAGGGTCACAGCAGGGCAGCTTGAGGCAGCTAGTCACACCCAGAGAGACGTGAACGCGGGTCTCGGCTCACTTTCTCCTCTGTATTCAGTCTGGGACCTCAGCCCATGGGATGGCGCTGCCCACTTTCAAGGTGGGTCTTCCCTCCTCGGCTACTCCAGCCTAAACACTCTCTCACAGACACGCCTGGAGATTTATCCCCAAGGTGATTCTAGAACCTGGTGAGGTCATCAATAGTAACCATGACAACCCATATCCCAGGGACCCAATGAGTGACAACTGTCATTAAAGTCTCTCTAGAGAGATGGCTCAGTGGTTAAAACATTTACTGTGTCAGCCTGAGGATCGGCGTTCAGATCCCCAGAGTCCATGCAAATGCTGGGTGGGCATGGTGGCTCACCTGCAATTCTAGCCTCAGAAGGCAGAGACACAGGATTCACTAAAGCAAGCTGACTATGGAGACACGCCATATCAGTGAGCTCTGGTTTTGAGTGAGAGGCCTTGCCTCAATGAATAAGGTGAGGGGTGATGACATCATTCTACAGCTTCCACGTGCACACGTGCATGCACACCCACAGACATGCAAACAAGCACACACGTGTGCACCACACAACACTCATGAAAATAGAAAGAGACCAACCTTCCTGTTGGTTATTTCGGTCGTTGGGAATCTTTGCCCATATTCATCCATCTCTCTGAATGCAAACTTAAGACTCGAATGTGACCTCACTTAGAGAGTGAGGGTTTCTGGTGTCAGACCCTCAGTCATCATATCTGTCCTCAAGGATTCACTGACTTCTCCACCCAGCACCGGCTCAGCACAGCTTGCCTCTTGGTATAAAGTCAGACCATCACCGGGTGCAAACACAGGACACTAGCCCAAGGACGCATGTGTCAGCTCACCTTTCAAAAGAATCTTTTTTTTAAAAATGCAGATGTTTTTCATCTGGTTCTAGTCATAGAATCTAACAGGAGCACCTTGTCTTGAGGCTGCTGGACCAGCAATCCACTTAGCACCAACTGACTTGCTGTTCCTTTGCTTGTAAACGTTGAGGTCATGAATGAGACTAGGAGGCTGTCAGTCAAAGGCAGAGGTGGGAAACTGCAGACAAGTGTGGGCCACACACCTACTCTGGTGTTACCTCCTATTTCAAGCAGATTTACCCACTCATCTCATGGTCTTTTAGATATGTGATGGGCTGGGCTGGGATGGGGTTATGACTCAGTTGGTAAATCACTTGCCAGGCAAGCATGAGGACCCAAGTTTGACTTCCCCATCCCAGAATTCACCATTTTATAAAGCTGAGAAGGTTGGCACATGCTCGTAGGCACAGTGGAGGCAGGTGGAACTGTAAGCTTGATAGCCAGCAGGCCTAGCCTACTTGGCAAACTAGAGGCCAGTGAGAGATTCTGAGTCAAAAGAAAATGTGGGGGTGGGGGGGCTGGAGAAATGGCTCAGAGGTTAAGAGCATTGGCTATTCTTCCAGAGGTCCTGAGTTCAATTCCCAGCAACCACATGGTGGCTCACAACCATCCGTAATGACATCTGGTGCCCTCTTCTGGCTTGCAAGCATGCATGTAGGCAGAACACTGCATACCTAATAAATAAATCTTTAAAAAAGAAAGAAAGAAAGAAAGTGTGGAAGCTCCTGAAGAAAAACACTCAGTGTGCGTGCATGCACACACACACACACACACACACACAGGATCAAAATGAATAGAATACTTCTCAAGTTAACATGGAGACCTTCACATCTTTATTAACACCAGTATTCACTACAGAAGAAGTAATAAGAGACTCTGTCCAGTGGGCTTGTATTCTATATTGTTAGACCTTGTCCAGTTATGAACCCAGCACAGAAGTGTGAGCCTTATTTCTGACAAGGAGTCCATCTCAAAGTGTCCTCTTTAAGGTCACAGCTGGAATGTAACAGAGCCAGGAATCAGTATCCAAAGAGGATGGTCTTAATTATCATGTGAATGCAAGCTTTACATATATTATCTTGGGTTAAAATGGAATTTGAATAATGGAAAAGAAATTCAGATCCACTACACAGCATTTGGGAGATGAAGAAAAGCCAGAGAAATAAAAGAGTCTGAACCCCCCCCCCCTGCCCTTGCACAAAGAGAAATGAATAATTTGCTTTATGAGGTGAGGATGTTCTCATCTTCAGCATTGTACACAATTTTGTGTGTGTGTTTGAATTTTCAGAGCTTATATTTATAAACAAGAGCCTCAGCTTAATTTCAAATTTTAAGGAGCCTATAAACATTGTTCTAAAAAAAAAAAGCTTTTTGAGATAGAGTTGCATTCTGTGGTTCAGGCTAGACTCTTTGTTGTTTTGGGTTTTTGTTTGTTTGTTTGTTTTTGAGACAGGGTTTCTCTGTATAGTTTTGGTGCCTGTCCTGGATCTCGCTCTGTAGACCAGGCTGGCCTGGAACTCACAGAGATCCACCTGCCTCTGCCTCCCAAGGGCTGGGATTAAAGGCATGCGCCACCACCATCCGGCCCAGGCTAGACTCTTAACTCAATGTAGCCCAGGATGACCTCAAACTTGATACAATCCTCCAGCCACAGCACCCCCGAATCCAAGAATTACAAATACCCACCAACATACCATGCTTTCATAGTTTCAGAAGGTGCTATGCAGGCTGCTGAGGAAGAAGAGTCATCAAAGGCCTTTGAATGCTACAATACTGACCTGCCCGGCAAGATAAGCCTGCTGGTGAACCAGTGGTAAGACGGTTGATAGGGTAACCAGTTGCTCTCCTGACTGGATTGAGGCCTGCTCCACAGGAGGTAATTCCTGCCTGGCACCGTCAACATGGTCAAAAATCCATGACTAGGGAAGTCAGAGGTCCTAGGGAGGAGCTACGGATAATAATTTTTTAAGGGTTCATATTGTCAAATTGCCTTCTAAATAGTTGCGTTTGTACCCTTAGATTTGTGCTGCTCCCAACCTCACAGGGAAGAACTTATTGCAATGGGTAGTAGTTAATGCAGAGAGACAGGACTGAGGAGACTGAGTGCTCAGCCATAGACATTTACAGGCTGGGGGAACACGGAGGCAGAGCAGGCAGAAAGAATGTAGGAACAGAGGGCAGGGAGGAAGCTGTGAGATGCTGTCCTCTGGACATGATGTGAGTGTAGCTGTGATCACCTTCATGAGATCAAGCCAGCTAAAAACTCCAACATGGAGCGGAAAGGAATTCCTGGGGCCAGAGCTGTCACTGAGGAACTGTTAGTAGTTGATTACTTCCGGGGGGGGGGGGTGTCGCTTTTCTTTCGGAGAAAGGTCACTGGTAGGTCCCAGTGGATGACCCTATGCCCGTGAATATATCAGCAGCACTAACTGGATTCAGCACTAATTGGATTCCATTATATATATAAAAGAAGGCCTGAAGTTAGAAAGGATTTGATATGGGTGATCATGGGAAAAGCTGAAGTGGGAAGTGAATGTGAACAAGTGTGAAGAGGGGTGAATGTGATCAAGATGGATTTTGTATATATGTATGAAAATCCCAAAAATATTAAGGAAAAAGAGGTCGATGGTGCTCAGAGGAGTTTCGATGAGGCCGAGAGCTGATCAAGGAGGTCAGTGAAAGCCACTTAGAAGAAGACAGCTTGGCCTGAGCCTCTGGGGGGGGCGGGGCGTCTGCAATAGGAGCCACAGGAGATGAAATGCAGAGGGAAGTCTGGGAGTGAAGACTAATCCAGACAGGTGTGAACATGACATGGACCAGGACACAGCGGAACAAAAACTGAACGCAATGGGGCTGCAGAGATGAGTTTCCTGTGTACACTGCACACAGAGCTGGGTCGCGTGCACGATCCATTTATCACTCCCTGCACAACCGTGGAAGACCGTGCCATGAGAGAACAGAGGCCAGATGCCAGCAGCACGTCGGCCTGCAAAGCAGGCACATTTCCTCCAGGTTGCACAGTGCCCAGTCATTTAGCTACAGCCCTCTTAGGCTGAGTTGGAGGATGCTGCATGGAGCTTCCAAAGAGTTTGCTGCCAGAGGTTTATCCGTTAACCTCTAGACAGCAAAAACTTAAGCGAACCTGGGGAACTCGGGGCTCTGAGAGCTGAATTCTACTCACAGGTGGACAGGCTCCCTGGACAAACTTGTGTCAAGAGAGACTCAAAGAAGACAGAGACAGAGGCCAATTTCCCTCAGCATCACTGTGCGTTCGGGTAGAACTTTAGATTACATTTCAGAAAAAAAGACACAGGACGGCATTTTTTTTTTCAATTTATTTTCTACCAGCCAAAATGTTTTTTTTTTTGTTTGTTTGTTTGGTTGGTTTTTTTTTGTTTTTTCGAGACAGGGTTTCTCTGTGTAGCTTTGCGCCTTTCCTGGGACTCACTTGGTAGCCCATGCTGGCCTCGAACTCACAGAGATCCGCCTGGCTCTGCCTCCCGAGTGCTGGGATTAAAGGCGTGCGCCACCACTGCCCAGCCAGCCAAAATGTTTTATCCAAAAGCCTTTTTCTTCCCCTGTCCAAAAAAAATCACTGGGTAGAAGGAAATAAGCAGACTGTGAAATTTCATTGATTTATTTTTTTAAGTCCAAGTTAAGCGGAGGGTCAAGCTTTCCCCTTCTCCTATCAGGTCTGCTCTCCTTTAAATGTCCCAGGAGGCGCCGGAAACTGTGGTGTGTGGGGACACCGCAGAGGGCTGTGACTAGCTGCCACAGAGAGAAGGGGCCACTGCACCAGTGGTGAAAGCGTGGGGGGACACGGGGTGCACACAGACATAGCAAAGCCACGACACAGAAAGGTGATGTCAGTTGACACCCGGCAAAGATGCCCTGTAAGCAAAGATGCCCTGTAAGCAGGCTGAATAACAAGAGACAGGAGACTCAGTGGGTTTGGGATTAATCATGTTCACTAATTGTATTTACAAGGCTCTGAATTCCAAACAGGGTCTCAGGCTGAGGCTCTGCGTGGACCTGAACTAGAGGAAGAGTAATATTCCGCCAGGTAGAGTACACACCAGGACTCTTCAGCAAGAGGGTTTTGCAAACCTAATTCCCTTCTCCGGGAGACTCCAGCAGGGATTGTTGCCCCTGTCTACAGCTACCATGTGTGCACACACATGCCCTGAGCAGACGTCCTACTTATATTAGTTACGTCTCTCATTAATGCAGCAAAATGCCTGACAAAAGCAATTGGAA